ACAGTCTGAAACCCAAAGATTTTCAGTGTGTTATTATAAAAGGGTAGGAAAACCTGAAATTATTCCCATTGGAGGAGCTGGATTCAGTGAAAGAAAGAGTGGCTTTAGAAGAGAGGGCTGAGAGTGGAAGATGAACACAGTACAGAATCCAAAAGCTTCATTCAAGTTGTCGCCAGCACAGCCAATCAAGCCTTAATCCTTCAAATGTCTGTGCCTATTAAATATTATAAATATCTTCTTAACGCAGACAACACACGCTACATGACAACATAAGGTTTATTATAGTGATTACACGATTTCCTCCAGTGACAGCAGCCCCAGTTTCTTGGGGATTTGTTTGTGCAAAACGCATTGTGATAAAAATGAAACAGCAGGAATATAGTTTAAAATGTTAGATTATTTGGTTCATGTGTCTATGGGATGTTAGAAAAATCTGCAATGTGCTCTCGCAATGTAATGCAATGATAATGTGACTTGTAGTGAACAGGATTGCTGAAGTTTTTGTTGCTGTACTGGCCTGCTTTGATCAGTACACTCCAAACACTTAACAACAAGATTATTTTTTAACATTTGATTTTGTAGCTATTGAGTTTTTATCTGTGGTGCCTTTGAGTTTTGTTATCTAGATTTATTGTTCATGGTTTCTTGTCTGATTATGTTAGTTATTGTTTGTTTCCAGTCTGTATTCCTCATCAGGATATGTAATCTAAGCATCATTTGTGTTTCCTTTCTCTCTCCCCCAGTCAGTGTTTAATGTCTCCATGTTTATCTCCTGTCACTGTGTCCAGTCCCCATGTCTTAGTCCTGGTCTCAGTGTTTGTTACTTCCTGTTTTATTTTGATAGTCCTTCATCTCTTGTCTCTTGTGTTAAGTTTTGCTTCCCCTCGTCTCGTTCGTCTGATTCCATTCATCTGTGTTCCCTGGTGTTTCCCATCTCTCTAATTACCTGGTGCGTATACACTGTTGGAGTCTCCTTTTGTTCTTTGTTGCGTCGTCTCTTGTGGTTGTGTCCCTCACTGAAACAAATGTTTGATTTTCCTAGTTTTGGTATTCTTGTATTTCTTACTTTGTTTTAGTTTAATAAAACCAGCTTTTAGTATACCCCGTCGAATTTGGGTCGTACTTCTGCCAGCCACACAGCCTACTGTGTGACAGCTATAAGTGATTCTTTACGTACTTTAACTGTAAAATTGAAGACCATATACACAGAATTTAAATCCAGACGCTTTAATATTTATCTCGCCTCATGCCTTATCCTCTTATGCCTCAGTCACACAGGTCTATAGACCAGGTGAGTAGATTCTGAAGGTTGCTGACTGTCAATAGGTAAAATTGTAAGATTGTTTTGGTCACTAGCAGATTCTCGTGGTTATCTGTAGTTTGAAAGGTGTTGGTTGCAAACGAAAGGCACAACTTTTACTGTGAAGTCGAACACTTTCCGTTTTAAATTTCACTTTGCTAACAGGGTAATTAGCTAGTGTTTGTAGAGAAGTTGGCATCTTCTGTGCAAACTACGGGCAACCGTGGAAATCTGTCAATCACAAAAGCAATCGCAAGGTTTTCAGGGCAGCACTGTGCCTTTTGTGGTCATTTTCACTCATCCAACAGTCCAACACTGTTTTGCTGAACCCTGTGGCACTGGTGAACATGGCTGTATACAAATAAAGGGCTTGATTTGAGCTTCCCCAGCTTCAAATCCAAAAAGTAGAAAAGTCAAAATCATGGTATTCACCACTCTCTTGATCTTTGGTATACTTGATTGAAATTTGAAGCTTACTATTTTTTTCAGTTACTATTTTAAAAGCTACCAGGCTGCTACATGTTTTTTTTATTGTCAGGATTTGCAAATTTCATTTTGATTTATTTGCACAAACTAGGATTATTATTATACATAATTTTAAACGCGATACCACTACCCAGAAAAACAATCAATACCATTTTCAATACAAAAAATAACAAAAAAATTAAATGGATTAAATGTTTTTTTTAATAAATACTAGAAAAATACCAATAATTAAATGGTTATTAAAGTATGAAATACAAAATATTTTAAAGCTAAACTTTTCACTTGAGATTGTGATTTCTGTTATGGAATTAGTTAACCCAAAAGTGTGAAAAAAACCTCCCTAAAACACATGTATCCTCATGATCCAGTCATCTGATGACTGTCTCCCACCCCAACCCACCCCGAGTAAATTACTGCTTGTGTAGCCCAAGTGGTTCAAGCTGCCCACACTAGCCCACCCTTTTGCCTGGACAGCCTAACCTTATTTTTCTGTCCAATCTATCTGGGCCACAATCAATACAAACAGTGATTTTTCATGGTCCTGGCAGCGGCAAATTAGTCTCCCAAACATACAGCACCACTGCTTAGACAGAGAAGAGAATTCATTGACTCTGTCCAAAAAGAGGATGGGAGATGCTCTTTTTTTGCTCTTCTCTGTAATACCAACTGCAGCTGGGTCCTCCTGACAGGCCTTACCAAGCTGCTCTCGCTGATAACACTGGCTAGACAGGCAACAATGAAACAAACACTGTAACCAATTACACAGGCTGCGGATAGAGACAAACGTTTAGAGAAACACAGCTGACCACAGCTCCACAGAGATGGCCCCAATCTCACTTTAATTACATTTAGGACGTTATAGTGCATCACCAGTTAATCAGAGCACCAAACGGGATCCAGATGGATGCTGGGTGACAGGAATAGCACTGTTTGCTGAATGGGTACTGCTTGGAAAGCTGGGATTATATTTGCATTTTGCTCTACATTGCAGCGTGGCTCACTCTGAGCTGCTAGAGTGAAATTAAATAGCTGTTTATAGAAGCGCTTCGCAAGGAGCACAGCTGAATTATGCCACTGCCCTTTATTCTCTGAGCCGTGGTTTTGAGATGTGCATTAAGCCGTCAGATTCAGAAGGGACAGAATACCATTAGCGTAATTAGGCTGTGCTCTGTAAAAAAAATAATAATAAAAAATAAAGTAAAATCTGACGGGTCCAGTGTAAACACAAGACGAGCAATAAAGCACCTTTGTTACGTACATTTCACTCCGGCGGAGGAGGATGATGTGGGAGGTCTGGAGGATGAAGACGAGGAAGAGGAGGATGTTTTGATGGGGAAGGAGGTCTTCCCACGGCGGGAGGAGGGAGCGAGCACCCTGGAGCGTTTCAGCGGGATCACAGCTCTGGGTGGGGGGGCCACTCTGCCATGGTAGTCAAAAAGCCTCAAGAGAAGAAAAACCTATAATATTACACTTGACTTCTTACGCATTTTCCATAGGCCCTATAGCAGTCGGAAAATGTTCATCTAAAGGGTTATTTGATTTATTTCACCACTGCTTCTTTCCAAAGCCCTCTCGCTATTTCCAGTATTGAATCAGAAGGCAGATTTGCTATGGATTACTCAAGTTCCTTCTCTCAAACAGCACAGGTAAAACAAAAGACAGATGTTCCAGTTCAGTTTTCCTGAGATCCCCATTTCTGTTCCACTAAAGGGTGTGTTGCATGCATGGAAATAAACCCTTCACATATATAAGAGGATGAAATTGAGAGGGTGCTTAATGTCAAATAAAAGTGTCAGCTTTGACTGTTCCTAGTGACACCAGATTGTCACAGCTCTCAATGTGAAGTTTGACATTTAGAAAATAGAAACTGCCTCTGCAGATAAGCACTCTGATCATTGGCGGATAAATGTGAGACAAAACAAGTGTTTCTTCATCAGCATGTTGATCTGTTCAGTCTGCACGACAAGTCGACTATTTCAGTGTACCTGTCTGGGAATGTGAATAGAATTTAATAGGCAGGACAAGTGTCTCAAAGTTTTACTATCCATTTTCTAAGACCGAGAAGAGATGTGAATAGTAATTATTATCACAGAAAAACAGCTCTGTAAAGCTTTGAATTCTACACATTTATATGGTCATAAACAATACTCAAGTAGGCTGTGGCATTTAAGTGATGCTCAGGCCTAAAGTATGATGAGAAAGGCAGGATGGACTCATGGGTTGAACATTGTTCATGCCAGATTCTAACCCTACCATCCAAATGTTGCAGCAGAAATCAAGACATCAGACCAGGCAACAACTTTTCAATCTTCTACAACCCAGTTGTTGCGGGTGTGTTAGAGCCGTATCCTCAGTTTCCTGATCTTAGGAGCGGCACCCAGTGTGGTCTTCTGCTGCTGTAGTGCATCTAGGTTCAATGTGCTGTACATTCAGAGATGCTCTTCTGCATATCTTGGTTGTAAATAGGGTTTATTTGAGTTAACGTTGCCTTCCAGTGAGCCTGAAGCTTTGTTGCTTTTTACAACAAAGCATTTTCAGAGAATTTCTGTTCACTGGATATTTTCTCTTTTTCTGGCCCTTCTCCGTAAACCCTAGGGGCGGTTGTTTGGGAAAATCCCAGGAGATCAGCATTTCTACAGGGATTACATGCACCAGCCCATCTGGCACCAACAACCATACAATTTTTTTTATTTGATTTTTTAATTTATTTTATTTTTGGAAATTTTAGCCTTTATTTGATAATACAGTATTTAGGGTGAAAGAAAAGCATAGCTTGAACCCAGGTCAGAAAGTTGCATTAATAAGTAGTTAAACAGGTGTACCTAAAAGTGACCAATGAATGCATTTCAAACTGAAAATGTAAATACCTCTACAATGTAACAGAGCAATGCAGTTTTCGTAGTGTAGCCAACAGCTAAAGACCAACATCAAAATAGTCACAGGACTGCTAGCTAGCTATAGTTGATTAAATAAGGTTTCAGAAGGTAATCCTGCTACTGTCACAGATTTTACTTTCTAATGTGAGAATGCAAAGCTTGACAGATGTTACAATTAAACTTAGTCTATAGAAATTATAATGTGATGTATAATGTTCTGAAATGTTGTATTTGATCACATATTGGTAAAAAAAATGAATGGTACCTACCTGCTGTAGAAATCATCCCTGTAGTACTCGTAATCAAATTCATAACCACTATTATAAAGACAGAAGGGGAGGAAAGCACAGAGAAAGAGAGAATGCGATGGATTATGATAAGAGGAGCCATTTCAAGCCTGTCAAAAGTAAGCAGATAAAACACAAACTGTTCCGGACATGCTCTAGTTGATGCCTAAAGCCCATCACAGGTTAAGCAGTAAGCCTAAGCTACGCTGGCATGCAAAGACCACAGATCGAGAAAAGATCAACAAAAAGTTTGAGAGAGCCAATACAGTCAGAGTCAAAAAGAAAAAAAAAGTTTTTTAGACCCTAGAGCTGAAAATCGATGTGGCACGCTCAGGATGACAACTGATTTAGAATTCAGGGAGAGCAATAAAATAAAGAGAAGCGGCGATGAAAAGGAGTTGTTTTGAAATGCTGCTATTCTCGCAGGAATTTTAATGTATTAATGATTAATGCATTACTATTTCGATTTAGAACAGTGTAGTGTTGGTTTTTGCTTCTCCGGATCCTGCTCCATGATTACCATATTACACCCCGACTCATTTTAACTGCAGATATAAATTGCAAATGAGGTTCTATGATAAAACAATGCAAAGACTAATAAAATTAGTGTAATAATACTGTAAAAAAAAAAACCCAAAAACTAACCAACAATTCACAAAAGTGTAAGGTATAAGCTTTGCCAATGAAAGCGTCCTAGTGACACTTTCCCAGAAAAAACATGCCTAAACCTCTATCACATTAGACTGCAGTAAACAAGCGCAGCTTTGATCTGTTTGTGACCAGGAGATGTGTGCGGGGCAGAGAATCAGGGTCATGCTTAATGAAGCTTACACAACAGTTTCTCCTTCGAGATTTACAGACTTGTGCTGAAAAAACTTCAGTCGACGTTTTAAAACTCAATTAGAACGAGGGGGAAAAAGGCGAACATAATAGGGATCCTCATATTTTTAATATTACTGCACATTTGCATCAGCTGGAGCAGCAGGATGTGAAAGACGATTAATATTAATGATAAAAAACTTTTCCAGAGGAGGAGCATGCTGGAAGAAGGGCAAATCTTACCTGTAGACAGCTGAGAGCGGCCGTTTGGAGCCCGCTTTGGGCCTGTATGGCTTGGGCTCCCCGGCCATGTTTATGTCTGTAAAAAGACAAAGCGAAAGTCTTCAATCATCAGTCATATAGGGGTGTTTTTACTGTGGATTAAAATAACATACAGAACAACAAAACAACAGCAGAGACTCTCACACTGAGCTTAAATGAAACACGACCAAACAAATTAATTAACAACAGCAAATAAAAATGTTTTAAAGCTCTGTTATTTGGGGGTCTTGACCGATTGTACAGAACTTAACTATACACATTTTTTGCATGTCATTGTACACACACTGCAAATACTCAATCACTACTAACAGACTCGCAATAAAACTTGGAAAGTTAAAGCAAATCCAAGGACGTTTTTGCCAACTGGTTAGGAAATATGCACATTTTTCTCCTAGTGACTGATGGTTGCTAGGTGGTGGCTGACTTCTCTCTATGGCCTGTATGGATGGTGCTTTTGCAACTGATTTCCCAGCAACTGCCATTAACCTCCAGCAACTACTCACCAACCGGTGGGGGAACAAACATTTTATTAATGGTTGACATAGTGTAACCAACCAATGTCTAGGCCAAAATTGCCAACATGATTGTCACACGTCCAAAATGGCAAACAAGTTAACGCCACATGGTTAGCGAGCACATGTCCTGTAAACCTCAAAAGAATCTCATGATTTCATTTTTGCTATTGTGTTCACTCTGGTCTGTTGTAACATGTCATACTTTGAAAACAATGCGAACTGAAATACAGCTGCACAAAAAATACCAACAAACATTAGGTTTTATTCTATCGGGGGATTACATTAGCACTACATGTCTAGTTAGCTATGTGCTAAAGTGAGCTTTGTGCTATAGCTAAAGCAACAGCAAAAAATAACTGCGTGGCTCACAGCTTTCTGACTTTATCAAAATCACAATATAATACAGATAAGATGCTTTAGCCTAACTTACAACAATATGATAGCTTAAAACTCGCATTGGTGTATTTGACTTGACAATAGCTCACAGCACAAGTAAGAATACTGACTGACAGGAGTCCACAATTTTCCCCCCATACGCCAATCTCCAGAAAAGTTTGTTTGTGTGGTTTCAGCAGTTCATAAAAACTTAGTTTTGGATTGTTTACCCTCTTGGTAGTGCATTCCACTACACTGCAAATCTCAGGCACTTTTCAGTTTGTTGCTTGCAGACAGAAAAGACGAACAGGCACCTTCATACAACACAAAGTCAGTGAAATGCTGTGTATTGCTTCCCCTCAGGTGTGGACCAGACTTAATTGTAGTCTGTCTCTATGTGGCAAGCCCAGCTATGAAAACATACAGGACATACGGCCAGATTACAGCACAAATGGTAGAAGTGTGATTTCTTTCTCTCCTAAGAAAGCAACTACTCCATTATGTCTGTGTTTGTATTCGGTGGGATACTATCTTATATGAAAACCTTTAATTTTGTGCTTATACTTGCTGGCAACTTAATTATACTGTGTCAGATACTGTTTTGCTATCTGCTCATAACTGTTGAAAAGGAGGTTATCTTACTCTCTGTATGAATAAATCAATATTCGCGTCTGAATATTATCATGCAGTATACGGGATATCACAGAAATTCATTCAGTGTCGGTGTTTCCTACGCTGCGGTGTAACCTAATTTAAAAGCCAAAAACTGTGCCCATGAAAGTGAAATAACTTCCTTTCTTCAAACATCCTCACATCGAGCAACGGCTTGTGATGGTGGCACACAGTTCAAAGCCATGGCTGAGCACAAGGGAGCATAAAAGTACTTCATAATACAGAGATTTAAAAAATCAATTTAAGCTCTTTGTAACTCTGTGCTGTTTCCGCTGCAAAACTGAACTTTTCATGCGACATTTAAAAA